TTATAGTATTAAGTGATACGTTTGAATATCCCTCTTTTATATTAAATTTGTTTGGATAAAAAAAGCAACTATTTCAAATTTTCTAATGATTATTAATCTTTCAGATTACAGTTAGATCTGTTTGTTAACATCCTTCATTGCAAAAGTCAACCTGGAATAAAGACACGTCATAACAACATTGATATTGTTTTGATAAGACAAAATACTGAAGGAGAATATAGTTGTATGGAACATGAGGTAAATAAGTAATTCTAATATTAATTTATGTTTTGTAAATATAGGCGGAAAAACATAAGGTCCGATACTTTTTGAACAGACCTTGTATGGCGGGTGGGGTAGGACTTCCCATTTAAGCGTTTCCAAGTACGTTTTCACCGGTTGTGCAACATGTGGCCGAGCATTGTCATGTTGCAAAATCACTTTGTCGTGTCTCTGCTCATATAGCGGCCGTTTTTCCTTCAATGCTTGGCTCAAACACATCAATTGTAGTCGATAGCAATCTCCTGTGATGGTTTCGTTTGGTTTGAGCAGCTCATAATAAACTACACCTATCTGATCCCACCAAATGCAGAGCAGAAGCTTCAAACCTTGGATATTTGGCCTTGCTGACAATGTTGATGCATGGCTGGGCTTACCCCACGAATTTCTACGCTTAGGGTTATCGTAGTGTATCCATTTTTCGTCGCCTGTCACGATACGATGCAGAAAACCTTTTCTTATCTGCCATTGAAGCAGCTGTTCACATGTGAAAAGATGATGTTTGACGTCTCTCGGCTTCAACTCGTACAGTACCCAATGTCCTTGCTTTTGAATCATTCCTAATCCTTTTAAACATTTCGAAACTGTTGTGTGATCAACTCCTAATGATTCTGCAAGTTCAGCTAGCATCTAACATGAATCTTCATGAAGTAATGCCTCTAATTCCTCATCTTCAAACTTTTTTGGTGCACCAGATCGTTCTTTATCTTCAACATCAAAATCATTATTTTTGAAGCATCTAAACCAATTTCTGCATGTTATTTCCGACAGAGCATGGTTGCTGTAAGTCTCAACAAGAATTCTGTGTGCTTCAGCTGCAGATTTTTTTGGAATAAAATAGTGCAATAAAATTCCCTGCAAATACTCTTTTTTTGGCATGAAACTAGACATGTTTAACACAATGAAAAAATAAGTTGTTTACACTTCAGTGAAATGACATATACTGAATTTCAAGGTCGCTTATTGTACTTCCTTACAGATGCGTCACCATCTAAAAATAAACACATGTGGTTCTGGTAACGCCATCTGTTAAAGAACAGCGAGAACTTATTCAAGGTCCTTATAGATAAATCTAAGTGTATAAAATATACTTAGTACCTAAACTTACTTAATAAGAATAAAACAATTTCTAGTATTATTTCAGTAATTACATTTTAATCAATCTTGACTGGATAAAGTAAACATACTTTTATATAATGAGCAAAATAACAGTATTTTGTTTATGATAATTCATGCAATCAGACAGATAACAGAAAATATAAAATGCTAAATTATAATTCAAAGAAAAAATTACAATATTTAACAAAAATGTGAACATCAACTTTTTCAACTTGTTTTTCAATATTTAAAAAAGTTAAAAATTAATACTTAAAGAGTTAATTTTAGTTAATTACATTATCATATTGTCATACAGCAAAAAAGAGATACACCTGTTCTAGCCTTTGTCTCTGTTCTTTCCAAGGGTGCATTTTTTTTATGATCCAAGTATAATCTAAGTATTGAATGCTTTAAATGCATTTACTTTAGAAATCAGAGCCACCCAATGCTACTTTTGGACTTGGATTACTTTTTGAATGTGCTTGACTCACTCAGAATTTTCATAGCAATTGTATGAAGTCTATTAACAATATATACGGTGTCTGAAAACCAAGTGTGGCTAAACTGTGCTGTGTTCCCCAATTTTTGAATTGGAATCAATGTTTTCAGAACATGATTGTTCTCGAGTTACCAATAATATCCAAACTTATATATCAGAAAGCAAAATGATGCTAAATTATTTACAAAATGAAGGCTTGTATAATAGTGTTATTTCTTATAAACACTCAAGTGCTCAAACATGTTTACTTTTAACACCATACTTGCTAAGAGTTGGCCTGCGTAAGGGTATACAAATACACTACTGGTGGCTTTCATGGTACTACAACCATGCAAGCTGCACCCTAAAAGTTGGAGCCTAGGTCATAGATCAGTAGGACTTCATCTGAGTGAAAGCATTAACATGTTTACATCCCTCACTTAGAGTGTACTATGGCTCATGCAATAAAATAATTGGATATTTGTTATATAAGTTGTTTTAAATATATATTTTTTGATTTAAGATCTTACATTTTTCAATTTTCTATTATAATATCAGTTTGGTTACTTGGTACAGACTCTTCACCATTGGGTTTTTAACATTGAGTTTTGTACCAAGATATATGATCCAGTTTTGATGTATGGAGTTTTCTCATCATACCTATTATTATGATACTATGATACTTTTTTATTTCTTCTTGATAATTCCAATGACTTTCTTAACTAGACTTTCTCTTATGGTAATATTGTTGATTTAAATGGATAGACAATATCATCACATTGCTCTATCTTCTCTAAGAATAACAATATTATTTCCCTACTTGTATAGTGGCAAATATTTAAAGTGAGGTTTGTAGCAGCAACTTTATTGGTGCATTGCAGCCTCTAAACATTGCTCCCTAGAAAATCTAAGTAACATAAAATGAAGTTTTTAAGTTCTGGATCATTTTCTTGTCTTCAAGCAATATTTGGAATTTTAATTCTAATTGTATCTTCAAGTTTATATGCAGAATTGGACAGCATTTCTCCTCTTTTTTTTGCTTAATTCTCTGCATTACTCTTAGCATTACATCTGTTCATAATAATTTTTTCTATTTTGTTTAAAACATCCATATATTTTTACTTATTTCATTACAGAATTTACAGTTTACACTGGCTGACTTGGTTTTGTAACATTCCCATTTTCACCCTCTTCATCTTGCTTATCAATATGCATATTTTCAAACAATATTTTTAATTTTCTTGTACAATAAGGGTAATGTTAAACCACACCCTTGACATCAAACCTTTAAAGAAACATTTTATTCCATAATGGTATTTCCTACTTTTCTTCAGTTTCATAAATTTATGCCCTGACCATTGCTTGTAATTTTTCTCATGCATCTAAATCATATGCCTATTCTGTTCATGAAGGAATTATTATTACCTAACTAAGTTTGGGCAGTTTGCTATTGATTAGAGTCCAAAATACATCTATTGTGAAAAATTACTTATTTTATGCAGGTCAAACATTTAGCATAATTTCTCCTCTCATCCAAAAACATATATGATCTATACTTATATACATAAATATGCAACAATGTATACATAAATATAAAAGAAGATTTGTTAAGAAATGACATTTAAATGAATGGTAATTGACTATAATTATTCAACATTAATTTATAATATGTAATATTTTATTTACAGGCATATTTCAGCACGTCAGAGCAATTATGAATGTGTTGTGTGAGTAAAATTTTATTTCACTTTTAAGCTTAATTTTTTTATAATGATGATGATTTTTGCAAAACAGATCTCATATGAACCCAAAGATATGAAATCTGATTTGTTATTTTTGCCAAGTATTATATCAAATGTAATGTTAAATGGGAATTTCATAAAGAATGGACTAAAGAGGGGTAGAAAATCTTGAAATGCATATTCCTGAATTAAAAAAAAACCCTTTTGCATTGTGTGTGGCTTCCTAAACAAGAAAACTAATAAATAAGCTCTAAAAACCACATTGCATTTTTGGTTTGGTCATTGCCACCAAGACATTTCCTTCTGACAGATTTTGTGGTAGAGTTTTGTCTCAAGAGGGATTGCAGAAGAGCCAAACTTTACATAGTTATGACTTTTGAAATAAGTTGATTTCCAAGTTTACTATTGAAATTTTTAGATGTTTTAAAAGTTTCAAAAAATTTGACATAGATAAAATTTATTATTGCAGAAAATTATAAAAACTGGATTCATTTTATGTAAAAAAATTCTTTTAATTGCAAGAAGACAATTGTATGATTTCTTTTTTATATTATAAATATTATAATATAATATAATTTAGTGTAAATTATTTTTAATTTAAAATTATTAGTTAGTAAACAATTTTAATAATTTTTTAAATTTGTTATAGCTTGTTTCTTGCTCGTGGAGCTGATACAAAAGTAAAGAATTNTTACAGAATATCCTAGATTTGAAAACAAATTTTTTTTTTATATCTAGTGCTGTGCAGATCAACAATCCCAAACATGGATGGCTCTAAGTATGAACAGTTCTTCAAAGTGTCCAAAGAAAATTGAAACAATTTTTCACAGGTTAGTTTATTTAAACATTCAGAATACTTAATGTGAATGTATGTTTTATGATTCAATTTTTGAAATTATCTTAATTTTAGAGATATATCTCGAGGAAGAGATGTTACACCTATTCAGTGTCTTAATGAAGTAGATAATACATCAACTCCAGACAATTTTATTTATATCATCGATAACTGTGAGACAGATTATGTAAATATTGATAGGACAATAACATCTCTTCAGGTAATAATTGAATTTTAATTAATTATAAAATATAAATTAAATAATATAGATGTTTACATTTATAAATGTCTTATTTTAAATAAATATTTTGAGTAAACATGATTAGTATAATAAAGTTATTGCATTTATCAGTATTGAAATGAATATTGTTTTGTTTTATTAAAAATAAAAGCATAATTCTTTTTTTAAAATGTTAAATCTAACTTACATAAGATTAAATATGATTTCAACAAAAATACTTTACAGGAGTTAATAGATTTCAATAAATTAAAGAAGTCATTCTTCAAGAAATTTTAATTATGAAACTTGTCATCAAGAAGCTTGCTTCTATAATTGAAATAATTGCATTGAACATAACAGATTCATTGCTCAAGATTACAAATTAATGGAAAAAATATATAATATGTAAATATGATGTGATTAAATTTAAACTCAAAAAGTTTTTGAATTAAATAATTTGCAAAAATGATGTATGAGGACAATTCAACTTCTGTCAGGAATTTCAGTAATGGTGATGCAACTGTATGTGTCATATAGTCCCAATTTATGTTACTTTCTCTAAGTACTTCTTCTCCTCACACTGACACTTTTTCTATTGTTTTGGCAACAATGTTATGCTTGCAGAATAGAAGTCTTTTGTTCAATGTTGGAGTATGGTCCTAACATTGCACAGTGGATGCAATTAACAAATTTGATTGGGAAATTCTGGATCACCCAGTCTTCAGTTCACATCTGTTACCATGTGATTATCAACTGTTTGACCCTCAGAAAGAAACAAGAGCCTTGGGAGACAGGAGCTACTGCATGACAGATGCTGTGAAGTCAGAGAGTTTGTCATGGTGGCTTCAACACTAGTCAAAATACTTTTATTCTATAGGCATCATTTTAAAAACAATTGGAAAAGTAGCATCATATGGAAATACTTAGGAAAAGGAACATAAATTTGTAATGAATATACAGTAGAGCCTCGATTATCTGACCCCCGATTAACCGTCACCTCGGTTAACCGACCGTCCTAGTCGGCAAATTTCAAATGTCCGCTAGTGATGTTGCGCTACAATATTTGGCTATGCCTTGGCTACTTTAATATTATTTTTACGTGTTTTAGCTGGCAACACTCATTCAACCATGAAAGGGAGCCAGTATTTAAACGAGGCTTAATTTTCTAATTTTTAACGATACAATAACAACGATTATTATTTTTAAAAATTTTTGTTAGGCTTAACATCGATGAAAATTCAACGTGAAGTGGGTTAATAGCGATATACTAATATACTAATTACATGGGATATAATAATATACTACACTAATAATGGATTTTTTCATACTTTTCGGTTATCCGACTTTTCAATTATCCAACCAACTCCAGTCCCCAATTGAGTCGGATAATCGACGCTCTACTGTAGTTCCATTGCAATTACTGAAATTCCAGACAGAAGATGAACTGTTCTTGTAAATTTTTTCTCATTCAGGTAAAGTCAATTGCATTTTTTATAAATTAATCATTTCCAAGACAGTATGGGTTCCTGTAGCTAATAACATGTTTCAGACTCCAAAAATTCATGTTTTTTTTTTCTGGATTGTTTATGTTTACTGGATTTTAATGGAAGTTGTTGTTTGGGATGTTTTAAAGTTACTAAGAGTGGCAATTGCAAGTGAAATTAGTAAACCAATATCATTCATTGAAGAGGAATTCAAATACATGGATATGGCTATACTTAATTTTTATTTTTTCACTTTTTTGTATTTTTCAATTTATAATAAACTTGCAAATAATACAATTTAATAATTTTGTTCAAATAATTATTTTGTAATGTGAATTAACTCTTATTTTTGAATTTTTAGAGTTGTCGTTGTAATAACAACTGTAGATACCCAAGTTGTACCTGTGCCGCACTTAGCTTCAAATGTTGGTATGATGATGTAAGTATTAAATTATTTAACGATTTCAATTATGTGTTTTGTGGATTGTGTACAATAGTTGCTATTATTTTTTAAAATACTTTATCAAGGTATGTAAGAATGCATGTACTGTACATACATTTTCAAATAATTGTAATAAAAACAAAAATATTAAAAATGAAAAAATTAATAAAAATTATTTTTTTATTGATATTTATTTATTTTAATTGTAACTTATCAATTTAGGAATATTTACTTTATTAGTTACATTGATTTGATAAATATTTTTTAATATTTATATGTATAAAAAAATGTTATTTAAATTGTTGAAATATTGCAACTAAAATTTTTTTAAACTTAATTGATATTAAGATGCTTTTCATACATTTACCTTCCAAATTAATTTTGTTAAATCATTGGTTAATTCATTGTATGTCTATTGTAGAGTATAAAAATTGAGATTTTAAAACTGTTCTGTTTTCATATGTTGGAATAATATATTTACACATATACTTATGTCAGTTAATTTGACATGTTAAATATTTTTATCATTAAGATATTTCTATACAGGCTGTGAACAAAAATATTGTATCAGACTACTGTATCTTACTTCTGCTGCCTGTTATCTAAATACAAGTGTATAAGAATATCAATAACCTCATTGCTATTCACCTCTTCTTATGGGTCCAAATCTTATCACACTTCCTATGAAAGTTAGTGGCACAGTTTACATTACTGTCATAGAGAATCTTAAAATTAGTGCAAAACATTTTTGTTCAGTTAAAATACTCAAAGAGAGAGTGGTTGGACACCTTCAAAAAATGGGGGAAACTGTGTGAGGAAAAACCACAGAAATAGAAAAAATTATAAAATTGTTACAGTTAAACATGAAATGAGATAAAATATCACAATGCTCTACTAGTAGTTTTGAAAGATATGGTATTGGGTTGTTCAGAAAGTAATTTCGCTTTTTTACCACTAGACGGATTAGTCGTATTTTTCCCGCCATTTTCATTCTAAACTGTATTATCATTATATATTTTGACATCTAGTATTTTAAGGCTTATTTGTGAAAAATTTTGTTTGATTTTGTGCGATTGTTTATTTTTTGTGTTCCATCAAATATGGAAGATCGAAAGCATCATTTTCGGCATATTTTGCTCTTTTATTACCGAAAAGGTAAGAACGCTGTTCAAGCGAGAAAAAAATTGTGTGACGTGTATGCAGAAGATGTATTGATAGAACGACAGTGCCAAAACTGGTTTACAAAATTTTGTTCTGGCAATTTCAATATTGAAGATGCACCACATTCTGGATGGCCAGTTGAAACCAATGAAAACAAAATAAAGGTACTGATTGAAGCAAACTGCCAAATAACAACAAGTGAAACCACTAAGAGATTAAATTTAGTAAAATAAAATTGAAGACAAAACTGTCCAAAAAGGATCACCATTTATTACTTGTGTTCCAAGACTAAAACATTTTCGGCAACTGACCTTCCTTTTTAGGCTACTTGTCGCCAGAAAGTTTACAAAAAGTCCTTTTAAAAAACACAAAACACATCCAATTAAAATTTTTAAAAATTTTCTGAAAAAGGAACTGGTGACATACAGTTGTCTTGCTTACTTCCATCATACTTTCTTTTGGGGTTTTTTTCTTCTTTTTATCTACTAAAGATTAGCGCTGGAAAATGTAGATTTTTAGAGAAGTTGCCCCCTGGTGACGATATATGTAGAAATTTCTCAGCATACTCAGCATACACACTGCTGAGTATGCTGAGTAGTGAATCCCCAAATGGAAACTTTTTGATCATGCCATATAATACACAATAATACAAGTATATACAAGGCATTTCAGAAATGAGTATAAAAAACTGAAGGGGTTGTAGAAAGGTTAATTTTGAGTGCCACTTTTTATTTGAAATGTTCTTTTTGAGTTATAAGCCATTAAAAAATCATGGTATCATTTCTTGTTTCACAAAAACAATGTCTGACATATGAAAATGTCTGTTGATATTTATTAGGTAATTTGATACCCTTCATTTATTATCTGCAATATTAATTTATTATTTGACTTTTTATATATTTTTTTGTAACAATATGAGCTATAATATGATATGAGAGAAAAATAAAGGATATATTATTCATTATTAAACTATCAATGCTTTTACAGACATTACTGAACAAGGTCAGAATCTAAAACATCAAAATAATAATGTTTAAAATGAGTTTCTCTAAAACTAAAATGTACTATAATACAAGTGAATGGAAAGAATATTGTTCTCCAAAATAAAATATTTTTTATTTATTTCTAACAAAAAATACATTAAAAAATATTGTTTTATCTGACTGACATTGTTCTTTTCCATTCATAACATATGTCAGACATTGTTTTTGTGAAGTTTTGGGCCACAAGTATATACAGTAGAACCCCTCTAGTCCGCCCTCGGCTAGTCCGTCGCTCCGGTTAATCCGACCGTGGTCGGAGTTGAGAAACTTGTCCTGACTCGTCGGTGGCTCACCGTCCGTGGCGTTTTTCTGTGTTCGTTACAGTATATGTTTTACATTGTGTGTACATGTACAGTTTTGTGTGTGTTTTTAACATGTCAGGAGTGAAACGTAAACACATTACTCTTTCATTAAATGAAAAATTAGCAGTGCTACAAAGACTGGACAAAGGGGAAGATTGTTTATTTTACTTTTTTCTGATAATCCGACCTGTTTTGCATTCCGACCATGCCCCCAGTCCCAAAGATGACGGATTAGAGGGGTTCTACTGTATAATAAAGTTACAATAAATTAAGTTAATATATAATTATATATACAGTACCTAATTTATATATAATTATATGTACAGTACCTAATTTATATATAATACTGTACAGACGATAGCAAACTCTCCGTAGCGTGGCACTTGACGGCGGAAAATAGTTCAGCTGCCCGATGACGTTTCACGTAATTATANATTTTTACTTAGAAATAAATAAATTCATTTATTATAAAGGAGACAAACAAAACTTTATTTGAAAAACACAAATATTTGTTTTATTTGGATTTCTAATTAATAAAAAAATGATAAAACACTATTTTAAAGTGCATTTTTATTCGACTAATATATTTATAAATAAGATGTAACCAAATAATAATTTTTACGCCAAAATAAAAAAGGGTAGCCAAATTTGGCGCAAAGTAGCCAAATCATGCAACACTGGAAGGAATACTAAAGAAAGCTCGAAATACCAATCAAAGGATTATAGACTCAAATGCGGGGAAAGGAGAGAAAGGACAAAAGAAGTGAGGAAGGTTGGGAAATTATGGGTCCATATAGTATTTGCTTAACAGAAAGTCTATGTAACCTTTCTCACTACTTTTTATCTTTTGTCCTTTCTCTTCTTTCACCAAATTTGGGTCTATAATCCTTTGAGTCTCAACTTTAGCTTTATTTATTTATAGTATTCCTTCCTCATTCATACATTTCCAAGTATTTGAAGATATTTCCTTTCCACTCAAAAATTAAATATGTATAAAGGTTTACGGCTTTGTGAAACTTCTTTTTTTGAATTTATGCCGTTGAAATAGATAAATAAAGTAAAAAAATTTGTCAGTTTTGTTTACACGTTTATTGGGCCGCACTGGAACTTGCCTTGGGCCGCGGGTTGGACACCCCTGCTCTAGACTCATTCATTAACATATATGCTGCCAGTGCCCCGAATAAGAATTTTTTGATTATGCCATCCATATACATTAATTCAGTGGTTCCCAAACTATGTACTGTGGCACTTTCAGGTGCCACTAAAAGTAGTCAGGAATGTTATGGCCAGGTTAGCCATTATTTTAATTAATTAATTAGTGATTTGCTGATAGCACTTGTTCACTTCATTTTTTTATATGCTTATCTAAATTATATATTTAGATCCATCTCACTAGAATATAAACATCCAATAAGCTGATTTTAAGTTTAACATCAAGCAATTTCCAGATTAATAATAATATAATTATAATTAAATTAATCAAGAGATGGTGGTGCCTAAAACCTACCTCTAGGCCAAGTTACTTGACTTGACTTTTAATTAATAATTAGTAGCATTATTACCTCAATGTAATCCAGCAATTGTTTGATCCATCTCATTAGAACTGTTTAAATATTAATAAATACAAGCTTTTTTTTTTTTAAGAACTATCTTCTTCTTCCTGTTAATAAAAAAACTTATAGAAAGACAGAAAAACAGTTACTTACAGACATTTTTACTTTTGTTTTGTGGTTAATATTACATGAGTTAAAATTTGTATTCAATGAATACTTAGCATCTATTCACTCTGTACATATATAAAATACTTAGCTTAAAATTGTTACAACACTTTCAATTACAAAAAAAAATTAAAAATGACAGTGCAATGTATCAGTATGAAATTTTTGAACAGTGAAAATAAAATATAGTATTTATTCTTTGCCTAAGAACTATTACTTTCCTTTATTTGTTTATGTCATTTAACCATATAACATACCAACATAACAATTATTCTTACATAGACAGAATACCAAATACAATATATAAAATTTATGCTGTGTACCAGTATATAATTAGGAGCCACCACCAGATGGCAGCAGCTTAAGGGCACTATTGTTTGCAGAAGTTTGGGAACCACCGCATTAATCTATTCATACTTTTTAACATAACTAATTTTATTCTATTATAAAAAAAATATATATATATATATATCTTGTTTTTAAAAATCTCTTAACGCCAAAGACATTTTTAGAATATATGTCAGTACTTAAATATAGTATTTTATCTTTAAAAATGCAAAATTTACAGAAGTCAATTTTAATTATTTGATTAATGTTTTCAGCATTCCCTGTCTCTATTTTCAGTTTTTAATACCAATGGAATTTATACTCAAACATTTAAAATTAAATATCAAATATTATGAATGTACTTTTATGAATGTATTTTATTATTATTATTATTATTATATAAATCATTCTTAATATTCTATGTTCATTTTATTTCATTGGAGAGCATTGTAGTAACTAGAACTACAATGCCGATTCATTTAAGGTTTATTGATTTTGTTATATTTTTGGTATTTTCTAAAACATTTATGATGACTGATGCCATAAAAATATCTTTTATAATTTATATAATTTCAAAATCTTAATGTAAATATATTATCTTTTCATTAATAAATACTTTGGAATTTTCATCTTGATCTGCAAGGAAGCAAATAGTTTGTATGTTTGAGGAAATTGAAGAATTATAAAATAATTATCACAGTATCTACATGTTTTTTTATTCAATAAAGTCTAATAGTGTTATGTAATTAGATTTATAAAAATTTTTGAAACGTAAATCGATAAGAAATTTTATAAAATTTCTTATTGATTTAAAACTTTGAACATTTATTTTAATGTACAATATGTGGATTTTAAAATAGAATCTAAAAACGAATATAAAGAACATCTCAATTCCAAATTAAGATTATTAGAAACAATAAAATTCTTTTCGGTGGACATTCTATAAATATCTAACATCTAAGCACTTTTGACAATGTACTCCTGAAGATGAGCTATAAAAAGCTCAAAAGCACTCGAATTTTAGATATTTTGTATAAAAAAAACTGGCAATAAAGCAGAATTTTATTGTTTCTTTCTACTAGTTATAAAATTGAATAAATGTTGATTAAATTTTTTAGTTAAAATTTTGATAGAAAATATAATTAATTTTTGTATGAATTTTCTCTGTTTAGATAATGTTAATAAAGACTTATAAAAATTCTCAAAAGTCATTATCAATAGTTTTAAATCAGTCGTAATTGAGATTTTCCCTAGGATTGTTGTCGTCATTATCTGAGTATTCTTTATAGCTAATTTTATTATTAAGCTTGGGCAATGATTTATTTCAGTCTTTCAACCTGTAGAGTTTTGTATAAGAAATTATTGAATTGCCAATGCATTTTTATTTTCAGAAAGGGCATCTTTTACCTGAATTCAACATGGCTGATCCTCCAATGATCTTTGAATGTAATTCAGCTTGTCTGTGTTGGAAAGATTGTAGTAGTAGAGTTGTTCAGTATGGAATAAGGTGGAAAAATTTTATAATTTTATTTATTTTAATGTTTAACATTCCTAATTTATATTTATTTTACTTACATACTTTAATTGGAAAAGAACTATATAAAATAAGTATTAATTTATTATTATTTATCAAAGTTAAATAATATGAGAATACACTCATTGACAAAAAATTTATGCACCAAAAAGGAGGCATTGAAATTGAATAAAATTTTATTACTGTGAATGTAATGACAATATTATAGCAAAGGGACAATTTTCTGTGGAATAACAATACAATTTAACAGAACCTTTAGTATCTTGTAGGATCTCTTCATGCCTAGATATATGCATCAGTAGTCAGCCAAGGAGGAATACAGGCACCATATGCCTCTACGGTCTGGCCTACAACAGATTTGCCTACAGATATTGCAAATGTTTGTGCTTGTGTCACAATCAAACAATCGTATCGCTCCTTGCAGTCTTGTCTAGAGTGTTCAGAACCTGGTTGCTGGGTGTGTGCATTCTGACATATTCACTGCCCCAAATACCATCTTACAGTCTAAATTAAAATTTCCTAGATAGTGGGCAATTTGGAAAAATGGCCATCCTACTTCCTTCAGTCTGATAATGCACCCTTTTTTAAACTTTATCTGCTGTATGTAATATCTTTAACTGTATCATACAGTTATGCCTGTATCAGACACAAAATTCTGAAGACAATGAACCTCTTTAAGACTTTTTATAGGAAACTGGTGTAGCAATTTTAAGGCACTCTGGTGGCATTATCTGGCATAAAATTTGACCACAACTGAAATGATATTCTTATCTGTCTTGTATGTTTTGTAGTAATTGGACAATCCTATTTGGTTATGTAATTTTGTCAGCGAGCAATCCCAGCATCAGCCTATTGCTCTATGGGGACCTGGGATTGAATCCTTGTGCTTGAAAACCCAAGGAAATTTTCAGTGTCTCAGATATGTCATGTCTCATTACTCCCACCCACTTGCCACCTTTGTGAGCTTGATTGAGTATGGAGAAAAGATCCTCTTGGCACCCATGGGATTTTGTGCTTATTTGACTTTTTTTTTTTAAACATTTTTATACATTTAATATACTATTTATTGTTATAAGTATAACATTAAGTCTTATCCATAGGAGCAATTTTCTCCTGTCAGTATTTTAAAAAATGAGAATTAAATCAGATTACTTCATAGTGTTTTCTTCAATGATACTAAAACTTTTTAATATACAGTAATTTCTAAAATAAACTTTACTGCTCATATTATGTACAAAATAACACTTTAATTATTAATATATATCTATATGTAATGATGTAATTCACACCTCAAAAAGTTTTAAGACAGTTTTCATTGAAACAAAATAATTAGTTTGATGAGCTNAAATTTCTATAGCAAACATTACGGTTCATAACATATTCTACTTTATATATATAAATATATATAAATCACCTGTCGTTTTTCTACAATTCTATTCAGTAAACGTTTTCTATAAGAAAATCATCAAGCGCATCTGGTTGGAAATAATGGAATAAGGGTCTACCGTTAAGGCACGCTATTCCACTATTAAAATTGCCAAGAAAATTTCTAAAGAATGACAACCGGTCACACAGAAGACTTTACACACATCGATTAAAATTCTCTTATATTCCGTCATAATTAATCCATTGTTACCTCGTGTCGTACCTGCCATCGGTTCTATTATTATTTGTTATTATAGCGGTTACCACGCTATTTTATTATTATTAATTTTTTTATATATTTTGCGGGTTGTATCGGGGGTATTCGTGGTAATCAAGCGAAGCGCCAGCAGACGGCGCAAGTGCACTAGTGGTGTGTCCCGCAGCAGACATTCAGTTGTTAGAAAGAGAAGCGCATCTTGTAATGATGTGTCTGTCGTCCTGACTCTGGATAAGTTTGGATGAACAAGTTGAAAAAAATAATAATAAAAATGTCTTAGATCACCCGGAATGTGTTCCGAAGAGAGAATGATAAGGGAGCGGTGATAAAGTAAGTTTTTGCATTACACCCGATGGACTTTTTTATTATTTTTTTTTTGGATATTTTCCAAAAGAAAATTAGCCTGTTAGATTTTCTTATTCATTTATTGTAGATGAGAGCGTTGGGCGGATTTATATATATATTATTATATACGTAATTTATAGTTTTCGAAAGCTTTACTGTTTAAAATATACTTAACGTTGACAGTAATGGGTTTGCAAGATGATATTTATGATAGTTTTGCTTGTATAAATATATGGATTAGAACGAGCGGTCAGTGTCGTCTATCATAAAAATTTCAGTGTTTCTTATTGCGATTTTTCAACACCCGCAATGAGAATTTTTATCTCATTTAACTCGTTCAAACGTCAATTAAGTTAAATTAGATTTTTCGAAATTGCTTGGGGCTTCAACAACGGGATGCCCCGTAACAATCTTTCATAAAAAAAAAAGAAGTATCCGTACTCGGTGCCCACTAATTTAAATGGATCCCACGGTGGTATAACGCGCCGTTAATGGTTATTTATTATGTTTCTGACTCCACCGTTTAAACACCGTTTGGAACCAAAGATAAATATTTATTCGGGAAAGAATAACTTTAAGAAAAGTTTACGATGAGAATAATTCGATTAATATAAGCGAGAAATACTTTTAAAAAAGAAGGGGGGGCTTTAATATATCGGTTGGTGTGTAATTACATTGTTTAATTTCTAAAGCGTTATTTTCAAATTGTAAAACTTTCACACATGCATAATTTAAATAGAAAACTATAAAATCGCGTGTGAATTTTGTATAAATATTAATATTACACACGACGGTTGTTAATCTAGAAATTTTCTGCGGGTTTTATCATACGATAATTACCTAAACGTAGGCTATATACAGCATTAATTCTATATACAAGTTAGGAAATTCGATTGTAATCGTCCGCAACTAAATTAACTTTTAGAAAATTCCAATTTGGATCGTCTAGCCAAGTTTTTTTTTTATTTTCCTCATAGATTTCTCATAAAAATGTCACCGTTAACAAAATATATTAGAAAAGATACAGCCTTATCTAAAAACTGTATGTTTGTTTACCGTTGATACCGGCATTAGATAGAAGGATATATATATATAAAAGCTTTCACAGTTGATGCATCACTATAGATTTATACCTAATACTCTTGTCAATCAATGCTGACATTACTGGCAATAGGCAAGCAACTGCTCTATGTAAAGAAAACATTTTTGGTCTTCCCCGTAATCAATATCATCCAATATTGTTTTTTTTTTCTATTTAGTATCAATTACCATTCTGTTTATATCTATTACCTTGTGTAATTATTATTATAGATCCTTTATGGATTCGTTTTTATATATTTATTTATTATTATATATTTTTTTTCTTCTCCTTCTCGTCGTCGTTTGTATACCTTTATGACAACTCCTGATGGATTATCGCGGTTGGTAAAACAAAACTCCGTAAATTAATACGGCGAAGTTTAACCAACAGTAGAAAGGGGGTGTTAAAAAAGATAATGGAAGAGAATAATCGATCTGATTGAATTAAATAATCTCGATTAGTTCGCACTCATTAATAAGGATTTCTATCTTGCACACTTTTTGCACGACGTGTGTTACCCATTGATTTTATCTGCCCTATTTTCTGCCGAAAAAAAAAGAAAGAAAATTCACGTTAAATTTCTCTACCGTTAATTAATTTACCTTATTTTTTTCTTTTTTTTTTCCTTCATATTTAAAGAGTTTCAAACTGAAGACATATCAAGAAGAGTCATGCATAATATAAGACATTTTTCTAATATTCGGAAGATACCATTTTTGTCGTGAAATTTTTAAAGATTAAAGCAATTCATTTAGTAAAGTGGGGAAGAGTCGAGTAAAGATTTNTTAATATACAATTAGAAAATTTACACATATTCTCAAATAGACAATGCTTTAAAAATGTATTCTCGTATCATCTCTTTCTCATGCCATCATTTTAACAAATGTATGTATGTTTTTTAATTGATTGTGCCATAGCCAGAGGGAAGATTTTAATATTTTACATATTGAGACAGACGAGAAGCCTCTAAAGAAAGGTCAGCTTCTCCTTGAGATTTCCTGATGGTGTGTGAAAGGGAGAAAGTGAGGAGACATTTTTAAAGTATTGCCTATCCGAGAAGTTTTGTAAATTCTCTAAATTTATATTTATTGTAAAGAGAAGTTTATTTTTAAGATGGATCCCTTGAATCATGATTTATTTAGCATTCACACAAATCTGACATGGTATATATTCATATGTATATGTATTTATATGTGTGTGTATATATATTTTCACTTCATTACATGTACTGTACATACAATTTGGTCATGACTAATGTTAATATTAGAATGTTATCTGATTGATCATTAATATGTTTTAGATCTATACCATCATACTGTGTTTTTGGGGTCTTCAAAAATGCAAAGAATGCAATATTTTCTAAAATCCTTAAATTTAAACTTTTTAAATTTAGTTTGAAAAAATTTTAAGGAAATAAAAATAGGATAAGGTACAGATGTGCTGGGACACTTGAGCATTTGGGGTGTGTGCCCTTGTTTCATCATTCCTTTTTCCTAATTCCCAGGGTCGCCAAATTTCATTATCACAAAACAACAGAAAATTCATAACTTCCCCTGCCTGTGCCCCGTCTTTTCTACAGTCTGTGGGCACCATTAATAAGGTGTAATTTTCAAAGTAACTTAATTTTTTAGAAGTATAAATATGATTTAAAGAAAAGTATTGAAGATTTTTAGACCACATTTTTGACTTATATGCATGTAATTTTATCATTGTAATTAAAATATAAACTATTTAAAGATTTATTTTTAAATCCATGGATTCAACATCTATGACTTGGAATTTTTGAAAAATTTGAATTTGAATTCAAAACCCAGAGGAAAAATTATTTATAATTAATTTATGCATAAACTTTACATTTTAATAATACTTTTATTTAAATTAAATATTTTAAAAAACTAAATGCAACATATAAAGAATATAAAGTTAATTTTCTGTTCTTTTTCTTTGAATATTCAGATGCCATCTACAAGTATTCCGAACAAAAAATACCGGATGGGGTGTAAGAACGCTACAAGATATACCCAAGGGAACATTTGTGTGCGAGTAAGTATGAAACAGTGCAGTTAATGAAAATTATAACTAATAATAAATTGCCCTACTTAATTAAATCATTTAAAATCCTTAAAGATATATAGGAGAATATGTGAGTGAAGCTGAAGCAGAAAAAAGAGAAGACGACTCTTTTATGTTTGAATTGGACAACAGAGTAAGTATTATTTGTAAATTGATAAAGAAAATAAGTTATATGAAATTCAATTTATAAATTATACATTCTCTCCTTTAGGATGATTCAAGTTATTGCATCGATGCAAAATATTTTGGTAATGTTGGTCGATTTATCAATCATTTATGCGAAGCCAACTTATGTCCAGTGAAAGTTTTTATAGAACATCAAGATCTTAATTTTCCAAGAATAGCATTTTTCACTACAAGATCCATAAAAGCTCATGAAGAATTAGGGTAATTTAATATTTAAGTAGTATTAATATCTAGTAAGCTTATTTAACAAAGTATTTAAGGAATATATTAGAAATTACAATTAATTTGTTTTCTTCAGGTTTGATTATGGGCCAAAGTATTGGTCTATGAAACATAAGCGTGGCCAGTATTGTCTCTGTGATTCTGAAAAGTGTAGATATAACAAAAATACAATTGAAACTACATTAAATGAATTGCTGCATAATTCTGAAGAAGAAGGAGTGTTACATTCTTGAAGCCTACAACAAATGAACACGTATGAATTTGTTCTTCTTTTTAATCGTTTAAAAAGTTTTCTGTTATAACAGTTATTACATTATAATATATTTTATTGTAGAATGAACAACTATGTGAAAGAATCACTGCCAAACCAAACAGAGCAGGCCAATAACAAGAAGCGCAGTAATTTTCAACTGGGAATGAAAGGTCTTTCTTCTAATAATTTCCATTTTATCAATATGGTGGCAAGAGATTGTTGAAGATTACTATATACTATCACAAATAGTTTCATCATTGACTCAATACAAGAAAAAGCATGAGTTAAAAGATTTCATGATGGATTGTAAAATATAACTCTTCCAAAAATATTTTATTACAATTATAAATTAATTTGTAGTTTCTGCCAAACATATCATTAATTTTATGGACAGTCAAACATTTGCGTGGCAGCGAGGAATCCATTTGAAAAGATTATGAATTACTCAAATTTCATTTTGTGTGATAATTATGTTCTTCCCATATAATTTTATTTAATACATATTTGTAAGTTTATATATAATTTTTTTCAAAATATTTGTGAATACAATCATGCAAGTAATTTTCAAAAATGTAGATAACATTGCCCATGAATTTTCTAATCATTATTATTTACAATGTGAAACAAATGGTGACAAAGAGTTTTTCCTATAGAAAGGAACGGCACAAATGAATTGATTTGCAAAAGATTTTACAATTTTTATCCAAAACTCTAAGATTTATTACTTAAATATATATAATTGCTCATATATTTAATCATTGTGGTATGTTTTAATACATTAAAATAAAATATTGTGGAGAAGCTTGCTGGATTTTTATTATAAGTGTTTCGGTCTGTCTGCGACTAAAATGGGAACATCGGAACAGATTAAAAAGTCGAAGGTAGTTAGAAATTTTGTATCAAAATTCATTCATCAACTCAGTTTATTGTCTTCTGAAATCATGCAAATTTTAATTTATTCAATTAATCTTTGATTGGTAAATTAAATATAATTTAGTTAGCACTTTAATCTGTGAAATAAATCTTGTTGTTGAATATATTTAAGAAACATTTATAATTAATGTACTTTATGTATGTTCTCTTATAAAGATTGTCATATATTTGTACTGGATATCTGTACATTTTACTAAGATTCAAGACAATATAACAAGATGTTCGGGATATTTATTTTTGAGTCTGTGTAGAGGCGGATACCTCAAAAAAGACTAAAATCACTCTCCGTTGGCCACATACGTAAATAACGGGCACAAATCGAACATTTGGATAATTTATTTCCTCCTATATGGCAATAAATAAATTTTTTCATTTTATATATATGTAGTGATTGTATATTATATGAAATTCACCTTGAAATCAAAGAATATTAACAAATCCGTAGACACCCTTTCTTCTATTCTACACAATACTTTATTCTTTTATTAGTTTGAGATTCTAATATTCAAAAGGTTCTAAACAATCACCTATAATGATACTGTTAAATACAATATATAATAGCCGAATATTTATAAATGCAAATCGAATTCATTAAGCTATGCAATTATATTCTTAATTAAATCTAAAGAAGTCTGTTGCGGTTTTGAATAACAACCCGACTCCTTTAATGAATTATATATCAAATTCTTTTATACAATTGAAGTGTATTTAACGTTCCACAAATCGCTAAAGTGATTTTATTTCGAGTTTCTTATCCGTGGAATTTTTTTTCCACTATCTGTAATGGAGATTTTTTTTTTATTTGCTCTGTTACCAGCGCCGAATGAACGTGTTTACGACCCTCCAAACAAATAGTATTGTGCAACGACCAGCAATCATCTTGTATAAAAATATGTTCTATGGTACTTATATTTGCTTTCGGAGAAAATTTCTGTGTACCGTACGTAAGTTTTAGTTGTATAGGGAAAGGAAAATGGATTTTTCTAAGAATTTTTCGATGTTGACCGGAAAAGTTAGTCGATTCCATACCTTTATTGATAAAACTAATTAAATTTTCTGTTTAAATAAATATATAAATGTATATTTTATTACTAAAACTCTTCGTTTCGTCAAGACAAGGTTCGGGATGATCTTATAAAGGTTCGGTATTTACATGATATTGCGGACTACTAGGCGATTAGAAAAGAAAATTCGATTGCATTTTATAAAAATTCAAATCTTGTCACTTTATATAAGCGACGGAAATGCGCTTTTTCGACCAAAAAATTTGGTATAGAAATCGAATTTTCGTAGATAGTCACTCGGTACACTCGTTAAGAATCAAAATGATAGAACAACGAAAGAAAATTCGATATATGCCTCGTTGGGAGTCTGCACGCTTTCCCTGGACGTAGTTACCGATGCAAAATAATAATAATAAAGTGGAATACGTGGACGAAACAAACTAAATTTTGCAACGAGCCACTCTTCTATTTATAAATACCGGAAGATGTTTAATTTCCGAACGTAACGAAATGGGAAGGAGAGAGAGATTTTAAAAAGTAGAAGAATTGCTCGGGGGCATCGGGTGTACGTCGTTTACTCGTGTGAGAAAAGTTATAGAAGCACATATTGTAATCCGTTAGAAATGGTAAATTTACTACTATAAAAAAATTACTCTGATCGGAGTGACATAAAAAGGCAATTTGGGACGTTAAAAAGTAAAGATGTAATCGGTTGGGGAGAATTCCATTTGCTTTCTTTAATCCGAAAATTGTCAGTGTTCTTTCCATTTTCACACGTATGAAAGAGAAAATTACTTTTAGCAAAGAATAGAAAGAAATAATAAAAGTAGAAAGGCAATCCACTTAAAGGAACGAAAGGTTTCGATTTGTAATTATTTATTTACAAGATTCCGTTTCATTTACTCGAGTCGATCCGGTGATTAGTGTCGTCTACCGCAGCCTACAAAAATAAATAAATAAATAAACTGCCCATGCCACCACTGTCGTACTAATGACGTTTTTAAGACCCCACAAATTTTGGTACTGTACCATTCACTTTTAGTTCTAAACACCAAACACAATTTAAAAAAAATTCCACTTCTCTTTCCTATCTTCGCCTTTCAATGCTTAATTAATGGTTACAAAGATTTTAAGGCTTTGATAATTACGATATTTTCACCAAAAACAATTTGTAGAATCCGAATTTTATACCCTATACACTTAACTATTACGGGTGACCTCGATTTAACAGACAAAAAAATTTAGTTCGCGAATAGAGCACGCTAAAAGATAAATCAACGAGTATAAATTAGTCCATTATAATAATAATTATTATTCATACTTATGCCCACCATTGGTCGAGGATTCGTGCTTCGCCTCACGTGGTGTTTTCCGGGTTTTCTTCACGTTTGTAGCACTAAATAGGGGTAGAAAGTCACCCTCGACGTATCGCGTTGCGTATAGAAACAACAAACAAATAAGAAATTCTATTGTTATTTTAAAAAATTATTTTGATTTCACTTTTGTATGTCTCATAAATTTAAATTTCAAGAGTAAAAATAATGTATTATAATAGTGGTAGACAGATAAAAGCAAAGTGAAAAGGTCTCGAGTTAACTTTAAAATAAAAATACCAACACAATTTACACGTTGATCACGTATAAAAGACAATGTAGATTGATTATTATTAGTACGGTAGCCATTTTGAAAACTTTATTTTTTTATTAACCTCTAAACAACGAACAGTTTATACGTTCCCGTCTGTGTCCGTTGTTCAAAGGTTTAATTGTATTGAAATGTTTAGTTTACCTTCTGTTATATTATAAATGGTAAAAAGAGAGTTACCTTTATCGATTTTTTTTACTGAATTTCGTAATTTGACTGGATGTCGGTGTTGACATTTTCAATTACCTTTTCCACATAGGTGTGGCGATTTACAATTACGCCTTTTTTCCCGCTATGCCCGCTCTTTCTTTACCTCCGTAAAGCCTATTACTTATTCCTTTCACTAAAATTCCCGTTAAAAATGAATTAATTATAATTATTTTCCACATCCGGAAGGATTAAAAATGGGATTCGAACCCGCACTCTCCCTGTCCATGCGTGTCCCATAGACAAGGGCCCACAAGATGGCCCTGTATAGGGAAATTTTCTATATAGATTTTCACGGTAAATAAGGAGAGAATTAAGTTAGAAAAATCTGAATAACGGAAGAAGAAAATAAAGAAATAGTTTTAAACATTTGACGTATTCAGTTATAATAATAGCGAAGCTGCGGCCGAAGTTTTCATTTCTAAAACGTAAACGTCGAACGTCGAGCGCCGTTTACAAGATAGCGGCGCTCGACGTTCGACGTTCACGTTTTACAGATGAAAACGTCGGCCGCAACCTGGCTAATATTTAAAGCGATGGAAGTAAGTGTTTTATTAATTTTTATGCTCGATACACGCCAATCTTTTGTAATCTTAGCGACTACTTGTAAATTTTAAGTTATTTAGTATGGACAAATAAGCTCGGTCGTTTGATAAATGACATTCTCTAGCCAATTTCCCTAAATATTACGATATTTATCGTGATAGGGAAAATTCCCCGAAAAGGTCAGCTGTTATCTCTGTTTAAAACTTTGAATAATAAAAGTATCTAGATTATTATCGAGATTAAGCAAATAATTTTATTCTTTACCTTTTTTTTTTAAAAAAAAAGAAAGAAAATTCACGTTAAATTTCTCTACCGTTAATTAATTTACCTTATTTTTTTATTTTTTTTTCCCTTCATATTTAAAGAGTTTCAAACTGAAGACATATCAAGAAGAGTCATGCATAATATAAGACATTTTTCTAATATTCGGAAGATACCATTTTTGTCGTGAAATTTTTAAAGATTAAAGCAATTCATTTAGTAAAGTGGGGAAGAGTCGAGTAAAGATTTTTGATGTATAATCTCATAATTATCGCTATCCATTTATAATACGAAAATCTCTCTCAGGGCAATTAGCTTTGTTTTAATAAGCAGACATGACAACAGAATTTATCCTGTATTCTATTATCCGACGATGAAAAATGTTTATTTTTATTAAAGAAATCTTTATAAATAATAATAAATTCGATTCTCCCCCTTGTAGATTTTCCTTTAATAGACGAAACACTTATTAAAACGGCACTTTTTACTTTTTAAATTTATACAGGAACGTAGCAAAAGAATAAAGTGTGCCATACGTTATAAGAAAAACCGGTAAAAGTTTTGATAAAGAGAACATTTCTAAGAACGTATAACTAAAAATCCGAACCACGCCCTTATCGGAGGGGGAGGAAAAAAACGAATCCAGTTACTCTGCTACTTCATAGGATGTGATGTCATGCAATCATATGATACCCTTTATTCTTCAGCTGCTTGTTCTCAGTTAGTGATTCGTCAGAGGAAACTCTTTTATTACGTGACGTTTTCTTTTTTCTTTTATTCTTTTTCTCATCTTATCGTGAACCCAACAAGGTGCGGTTCCTGATAGAATAATTACTACTTTTGGCTTCCGAAGTGGATTCGGTAGAACTTGATATTCTTTAACACGGATAAGGTGTGCTTTAAATAATATACTATTTTAGGACCGAAAAGATAAGAATATAATCGTGAATTTGTTCTCAAATTCTAGTGTATATCGGCACGAATGAAACGAGATTTGTTTTATTCAGATTGGCTTACTTTAAACTTCTTAAATTAATGGTGAAGAGGATATAATCCGTCACGTTCTTGAGATAACTTGGATGAGATTCCTCTCTTCACGTTACTTAGTATATATTTTCTACTTTAATATTAACTTTAGGGATATTTTTCTGGTAATAATATAGAATATTCTTTAAATCTAAATCTTAATTTATTTTAGAAAATTATAATTCGAAATTAAAGCCTTAAGGTAGAATACATTTACAATACTAATTCTGGAATAGATAAAAAGTTCTGTAATTTAAACGGAGAAAAGTTCTTATCTTAAATTTAAAAGGAAATTAACTTTGTGTGTGTGTGTTTTTTTTAAATATCAAACTCCTTTTTCTTATATAAAAAAAAGGAAGCGTATAATTTCCTTTTCAGAAACGAATCAGTATAAAAATATTAGAATTTTTTTTATTTATAAATCCTATTATTAAATTTCACTTAGTATTGGATATGGGTTAATGAATTTGTTCTGCATTTATTTTATTGCTTTTCTAAAAATAGTTAATCGTTTATTTTAATGTTAACAGGAGCGTGAACCGATAGAACAATTATTGCTAGGGTTTTTTCCCTACGTTATTGGCTTTCTCGCCCGTATTTTCGTCTAGAAAGGGAGGAGTCAGGGGGGGGGGAAACTTCGTCTTGTCATGAAATAAATCTGATCGATTATTTGGAATGTTCGTAAGGGAAT